TACTCCAGAATATTCTATTCCTTCAGGACTTGCCCAAATTAAACTTGGAGGTTCTTGCATCAATGACGCATGAGCATGAGAACTTCCAAAACAAGTTATCTATTGATCTGAATATTCTCACACAATCAAATTGGGGCCACAGAATTCACGTATTGAACCAATGAAAAGAAGAGCATTCAGAAAAAGGTCTTACAGTCTTAACGTACTCGAGCCCAATTGTTAGCCGTTTTTTCTACGATATCAAGGTTAACAGGTTCTCAAACATTATATCAAGTATTGTCTTATCAAGAAAATGATGCACTTAAAAGCAACTTATATTGATGCCTTCATATCTGATCACGGAACCTACCATCAGTGAAAGGATAACATTAACAGCGTCATAGAATCGATTTGCAACAATTGGATCACCAACAATTTCTGGAGAAATCCGTGACAACAAGAGTGCCGCCTGCACAAAACTAAAGTTAACAACCAAAATACTAAATAGTACACAGCATGAATGTGGAAAGGTGTTTGGTGCTTTGGCCTCTCCAGGGTGTGAGCAATCTTATAGCATGTTCTAGCACATCACATGTCCTTTATCTATAATCAAGAAGAAGTTTGGAGGATTACAAGCTGATGGCATAAGCTTACATTTTCTTACTAATAATATAGGTTTTTCCATCAACTAACTGGAGTTCTGTGTTTTTCTGTTGATAGCACATCAACTTTATCAGTCACAAAATTTGAGCTTGTGCTATCAACATAAAAACAGCTTCTGACCAACTTTCATGAAAAAGTACGTGCAATAAAACAGTTTCTGACCAACTTTCATGAGACTTTAACTTTGTAGTTGCTTCATTTTGTAATCGGTTGACAATAGACTTCCTTACCCAATATTTGGATGGGAACTAGTCCTGTGCCATATTTTTCCTTGCTTAACTAAGTTTCAAGGATGAAATCAGTTTGATAACTAGGTGATGTTGGCATCTCGTCCATTTGATCCTTATTCACTAAAAGTTGTGCTCTGCACTGCAGTGTCCATTTTGATGGCAAATGCAGACAATGAGGTTTAAGATGATGACTACTATGTATCCAAATGAACCACGACACCAACCTTTAAGCCTTCTGCTGTGCAATCTGAAATCGGCCATCCGTGATCGCCAGTGGAGAATGGCCATGCACCCTTAGAAATGTGCCGGTACCAGAAACTAAGGTCACCAGGGCAATCTTCAAGAACCTACGATCGGATTGAGAAAAGTGGAATGATTTGACTAAGAAAGTCTAGAACATTACAGGAAAGATAGAAATCTTTGTTTCATCATCAAACTAACCTGTGACTCTTTCACATATTTGTGCGCCTTGCTAAGGGTAGAACCAAATTCTTCAGAAAATCCAGTTGAGATAATTGCTTGAATAGTGAAGGCTGTGTCCCATAATTGGCTTCCATTATAACCCTATTAGTTTATAGAACAAAATAAACTACCCTATTAGTTTATAGAAAAAAAGTAAACTAAGAAGTTCAGATTCGATACTGCAAAATGGAGAAGACGATCACATAATGCAATTCCATACGGCAGAGAATAGGAACCTACTCTGTTTCTATCTAATCTTATGATTACATTTCTTGTGTCAGATTTATCTACCACACAAGATAAGCATAATCAATGAACTCAAGGGAGTAGGAATTTTCTGAACCTGCATTTTCATGCCATCTTCAGCTAGCCACAGATAATCATTAATTCTTGGAAGATGTAACTTGAATGCCTCTGAATTTGGATCTTCCACCCAGCAGCACAACATATTTATCACCTAAGCGTATTGAAAAGTTAGGCATATTACAGCTACATTATGATGAATACATGACACGGTTAGATAAAAACATTGATAAAAATCTTATGGAGAGTTTATGTCGTGCACCAAGAGCATGTGTCAGAAACAATGTCATATGAAAGCCGAAAGTCACTTTACAATCACATAATTATTTAATAAGAAGCTAAATGGCACATTGTAGAACTGATATGTATTAGTGTATAAATAAATTAAATTTTATATCAAAGAATGAGGCTTCTTAAAGTGAAAAATAGTAGGAAGGAACCTCCCATAACAAAATCAGGATATGGAACTATAATCAGTCCCCATGATGTATTTCAATCGAAACACCAAACTATTACATGAATTGGTTATTTTATCATGAAAAGGTCCAGTAGTTAAGCTAGTTATCATCTTTTCTTAACAAGTATTCGTCTTTTCTCTCTCAAGAAGAGGCTCAGGATCTCATATCTTTTACAAATCATGGGTGATCATGAAAAAAATTGGCATCTACTATTCTTGAAACAAAAGAAATGACCATGTAGAAGTGCAATGCTTACCTTATTCACAGGACCAATGCAAATATATCGAGTATTCTCATCTTCATAGTGAATATGCTCCATAGCAGTTTTTAGAGCTTTCTCTCTCAACTTGTTACCAGGCCAGCGCATCAAAATAGGTTCCACAACCTTATGAAGAGAAGCCCAAAGAATATCTTGCACAACCGGATGGGGATAGTACAGATCTTCCTGTATAAGGATTTAAGTAAATAGTGGATTATTCATTATGGAAAAAGGAATATCTTGTAGAGCACGGATCCAAGAGTAGCCATATGCCCAGCTCTGCTCGAAAATATATATCATTAATAGGATCTGTTCGTGTATTGATAATAAATAATATGCAGAGCATGAAATGTGTATGTGTCACTGTGTATTAAAATATCCTGATTTTTAGCCTTTTTTATTACCAACATAAAGAGGAATCTAAGTGGAGAACAGTTCATTACTTCTGAAGATTGAGCAATCATATAATAATATGCTTTTACTGCATATCCTCTGCATATCCTCTCACCTTTAAAACAGCCTGCTCCAAAAATGGTAAATTTTAGTTTTACCCTCACTGAAGAATGACTAACTTGGTACTGGTGTTATTTTCCTTTGCCAAATTCTGATCCAGAATTTTAGAATTTTTTTTTTCTTTCTATTTTGAAAAAATGATCTAGAACTTGTGTCATTTATTGAAGGAGATATTGAAGAAGATGCAGGAAATTGAGGTTTAAAATGTACTGCTATGCTCTAGAAAGGGATTAGGAAGGAAATGAGAAGCACAGACTCTAGAATAGAATATCATGTTCTAGGAAGAAAGAAGAAAGGAAATTTTCAGCAGTTATCCATACTGCATACTTGGCAGCAGTAGATTATGGGATACTCATCTATAAGAAAAGTCTATTCTTTGGTGAACAACGTGAATTGTGTACTTTGAATTTCTATAATTCTTTCTAAAAATGTATGGCCTCTGAAAGGTCTGTGTTTGTTTGAGTTTTACAAATGAAGAGATGCAAGTCCTTAGGATGTTTATAATACTACAATGACCCCATTTAATTGAAAAAGGATAATACAGTTGCATCCTTGTCAGCTTATGTATGTCTTTTGGTTTAAGTTCACATTGGTAAACTCCCCAGTTGTTGACAGAGTTTATGAATGCTATGAAGTACCATGTATGTTAAGATTACGAATATTAAAGTTCTTCAACTTTAATAGTATATTTAGATTACTTTCTAAGCATTGATGCTAGTTATAATTATAGCTGAACCAATGTTGAAAATGACAACAACGCATAACGTAATGTTCTACCTCTCTTAAAGGGTTAAAGAGAAAAAAACACAAAAACAGGTAACCCATAAAGTAGGTTATTTTGTTTATTAGTTATTTACATATTTTATAAATACAAATCATTCATAATGACTTCAATAATGAGAATCATCAAACTTTTCAAGCATCACATCACAATTAGGAACAAAATATTTTTTACTGTTTAATTTTAAAAATATAAAGAATGTTAATTACAATTTTAAAGATTAAGAACAATATATTGTAATACAAAAATAATTTAATAAAAATTCTTTAATTTAACACAAGCCATATAGATTTACTAGGAAGTATCACAATTGAATACTAATATATAAAAAACATAAATTTATAGCTTGTTCATAGTTACACTCGTTTTATTAGTCATAGTCATAATTTCACAATCATATAATGATGTCATCAAAACAAAACATGAAGGCTTAACAAACAATTGAAAAGTAATTACTTAACTATTGTAAGTTTTAAGAAAGGATGTACTCTCAAGTCTGTAGAACGTATATTGAAATAATGTAAGTTATATTGAAATAACGCAAGTTGCATTAGAGTTATGATGTGTCTGAGTTATTTCCTAAGGTTATGTAACATCTAAGGCCTGTTAAGTTACATAACACATCATAACGAGTTACATAATGCGTTATTTTCAACAATGAGCTAAACTTAGAGAGTGCGCTACCATTTGGAATTTTTTTCCTTCCCCCTGGTGGATATAGGAAACATGTTTGCAATGCTTCTGGTTGCTAAATGCCAATATGGATCTTGGTTCTACACTTGTTTAGGCAGAGTTATCACTCGATGTTGCATTATTATGTCTGACAGACTGAAAATGCATTTTGTCATGTATTGAGCTGCATTTATGATATGCAAGAAAATAGGATCTCTAGTAACACGATGATAAAACAGTAGACTAGCTCGATTTGCTGAAAATGACATTATTTGGTTACTGCAGTGTTTCTGCCACAGTAGTGGAAGAGTTCTTCAACGTGTCAAAGCCTCATGTTTTCATTTGACCGTTGATCAGGCAGTTAATTCCTTCTTTTGAGGGTTTCTCAAGGTTCATATGGTTTCTGATATTTCAACAATTGAGATATTTTCTCAGCCAACGCCCTTCAACCAGGAGGTTCAATTCGCAAAGTTTGCCACTCTCATGAAGAATTGCAATCTTGATTTATTTGAACCGAGAAATTTAGCTACCGTGCCTTTGTACAATTTCTTAATTTTTTAACTTCTGAAAAGATAATTTATTTTCCTAGATACGTAACTAATTATTTGAAGATTCATGCAACTTCCTCTCCTTACATGACTATCATCAAATCTTAGTTAAATAACAATAAGACAAAAAAAAGTCTCTTAAGAGGTTCAGTTGCCAACAATTGTCTCAACATGACAAGATTTAATATGTATGTTAAGTTACCTAAATAAGCTTACAAACACTATGTATGTTAAATTACCTAAATGAGCTTACAAACACTATCACTAAAGTAAGATGTAAATACAATGAATATAGAGAAGGAATACGCATCAAATACATATTGTTGAAACATAACGTGGGAGACATTTTACCAACCTTTGCACACTCATTGCGTGCCATGTTCCAGTCTATCTGGTTGTAGGGAACATTGAATATCTCCTTCCTTAATGCTAAAACTGTTGGAGTGATTGGACCAACAAATCTCTTCCCATATATATACGACATGGGTAGATACACCATCCGGCAATGACACCACATTCGACCTGTCACGCAGAAAATAATGGGTAAACTTATATACCCAAAAGAGTAGTCAGTCCAGGACGAAGGATTAAATGATATTTATGTTAGCTATATTCCTGATGTTTACTATAGAGAAACTTTTCTGAGATCGAATATGGAAAAAGCATGCTCCTCTGTCCCTACCTCTCTCTGAGATAAGACCTAGAAAATATCACTCCATTCGCACATGTGCACGCTACCTAGTCTATGCAAAATAAGGATTATTTTAAAGAAATTACAATCAAGTTTAAGGTCAGACCTGTTGAAAATTGCAATACTAAGATATTTCATTCCTCTTTTGGACTATGCACATAGAGTAATCAGCAATGAGAAACGAAAAATAAAAGAAGAAAGTATTATAATCCCCTACCAAACAGTTAACATATAGGGAAGGTAATCTACAATTGTATCAACTGCAATTAAGATTTCTGACATAATTTCCAGGTGCAATTCCATAATGACATGGAAATTATTGACACACACAAACTACTTTGATACCCATCACTACAACTAGGGTGGAAACGAAACAAATTTGATCAAATACATTTACATTCGAATTCGAATTCGGCTTTTCTCTATTGAATTCGTATTTGAATCCTTGTCGAATAGGTAAGAGGTGATCAAAATCAATATGTTTAATTAAACCATTACTCGGAAAGTATTCACGAATACTTGTTAGCACACTTGGTAGAGGCATTTGGCTCTTTAACTTGAGGTCATGGATTCAAGTCTTATGTTGGTAAATTATTTGTTTTGTTTTCTTTTTACATTTTGCATAACTAGATGATGATTATTATGGTATGTCATAACTAAAATTATTAAATTTATATATTTATTAGTTACTAATTGATATATTCATAAATAGTAATAGTAATATTTATAATGTTTTATAAGATAAAAAGTTTGTTTACTGCAATAATACAGAAGTAAAACATCTCATTATAGATTTCAAATCCATATAAATCTATTTTCTAGCAAAGTTGTTGCAGCAACTTAGAATATAATCTTAATTAAATTTAGGATAAGAATATATTTTTTATAGATATTTTATTATGATATAGGTCGGCATGATGAATATCTCGAGTGTAACTTTAAAGGATAAACAGTTTATGATAAATTAAATCTAGTGGAATGAAATGTAAAGCATAAACGAACATTTAATAATCAACTGAATCGAATATACCTTTGGTTAAATTCTATTTGTTCATGAGTCGAATACTAAAAAATATTCTTTACTATTAAATGAACTACCGAATCGAATATGATCGAATATCTGAACGAATAATAACCGAATAGTTTATTAATTATTTGGTTCATTTCCGCCCTTGACTACAACAGTCTGAGACAGCTTACAAGTGCAATCAAGGACTCAAGAACCAATCTAATTACATTCTTATGGAAAGAGAAAAACAGAGGAAAGTCGAAGCAAGGGTTAGGCTTTAGAGGCGTTAGCAGAAACAAGTACAACTAATTATTTTTAAAAATTATAAAAATATATATGGAAGAAAACTATGGGAGCAACCACATCTCTGTGAAAGAAAGAAGAAATGGAGACCTGGATGAACTGGAAGAAAATATGGAAGTAACCACATCTCTGGGGGGAGAGGGTTGTTTCCCCACCAATCAAAGACTCCGAGTACCTGCAATCACCAAAATCAAAGTTTGTTCCCTGGTAACGTAAGTCTGTTTATGGTTCTCTTTTACTCAGAAAAGAAAACCCTCTACTGTGGTTTCAAGGAAAAGAGATGGTTTAGTTTTCTTACTGAGAGCCAAAATTTCCCCCATGATGTTATAGCAGTTGCACTTCCATGGTCTAAAATCCACTTTCTCCCTTTCTCCATTGCTCCATCTCCACCATCAGCCTCTTCACCAAGCAACCGCAAAGTAATGTATGATAGGACTGAACCAAACATGGTACTATGACCTTCAATATGCAAACCCCAGCCTCCATCTTCATTCTGCAATGCATAGACATCAAAATGAAATAATATGTGTTAAGGGCAATAAGAGCTCAAAAAAAGAAAATGAATAAAAGATCAAAAAGAAGAGATCCAAAATTCTCCCACAGGATCAAACAACATGCCTGGTGGTTGTAAAGATAACGGCACATCTCGCGCTTATGTTCTGCTGATAGGACAGTATTTAGTGCTCCAGTAACAGATAATGTGATAATCTGAGAAGTGCCACAGAGAAGGGGAAAAGAACATTATGACCATCATTCTTCTCGTATCTCGAATGTAACCATTAGACATTATCTCTGTCTATCAGCCAATTTAGGGGGAGAAATGAAATGCTTTTCAACTAGACAGTTTCTGCCGTCAATTAGCATCCCTATTAAACATATCTATACATGAAAACAGAGATAAAGTTCTTTGCTATTTCGCAGCAGAGAGAAAAAACAGCATTGCAAACTTATTGACAAGGATCAGCATCATTTGGTTACATATTACCAATCCAGGCAAAAGGAACATTGGACCACCGTAATCCCCGGGCCAGTGCCCATCATGAGCTTGGAGAGTGGAATGGCGGCTGATGGCCCTTCTAAGAGAGATTGATACAGCCTCCTCAGTAACAGCTTCTTCCTCTGATAGCTTGATGTGTGGAAGATTCAGTTCTAGTGGATTTTCCTTCGCGAACTACACATACAAATAGATTTAGAAATGGATGCAAATGTAGTGAGAGCAACAATAAGTTTGACATATATAGAGACCTGATGACAGTGGACTCTGCTGCTCAAAGAAAGACATGAACAACAGAAATCCAAAGAAAATAATTTGGTAGATTAGGAACAGAAGATTATTTAATCTTCAAACATAAATCGTCCCAGGTTGACATTTCTAATTTCTAAAAGAGATCAATGCTTACATGTTGACATTTAAGGTCAAGGTGCATGCTTTCTGAATCATCTAAGTCAAATTACTTAGCGCCGTTTGTGTTTTTGTAATTCCAAAATCTAATTCCACACAAATTTTCTCACCATGTCGAGATTCTTACATTTACAAAACTTCAATTCACATAATAAGACATTTCATTGTTTTTCCTACTTTCCCAAACATCTAAACTAATGGCAAATGGTTGCAGGGATGCGAATTGTGTCAGTTAATAAAAATTATCCATGATTTTCCAGCTTTCATAGTATCGTCCATAGTCCATACCTAACTCATTTATTATTGAGATGTATCTTTAAAATAGTTATCTAGATATATTTGTTTCCATTTTTTTATACAAATAATAAAATGGTATTGGTGGCTGCTCGTCTTGAGCGTATATTTGTCCAAAATCATAATACTTTCACGGTATATGTTCTACAATATTGTAATACTAAGCTAGCACATCGCACGGGTAAAAGCAAGTAAATCCTCAACCTTTGCACTAAATTTTGGCCTAAATGTTTCATTCACACCATCAAAATCTTCAGCTTTCACATGGTAGGATTTTTATTTTATTTTATTTTATTTTATTTATTTATTTTATTTTTTTGGGCCTGCTTTCCCAAACATCTATGCTATTATAATGTGACATATGTCAGAGATACCAAACCTCTCTTCTCCCTTGAAAACAGTCATTATCCATGCCTTTCTAGCTTTCACGACATTAAATCAGAGACCTAATTCATTTATTATGATTTATCTTCAACATAGTTATCTATAAATATATAAATATTTCTTTTCGATTATTATTATTATTATTATTTTGTTACAAATAAGAGGCTAATCTTAGTGGATGTTCATTTTGAATAGTTATTTTTGAAATCATAATAGTTCCTACAATATACGTGCAACACCATTGTAATACAAACTCCCATGCATTGCACAGCTAACAACTAGTTAATTGAGATAAACCCTCAACCACTGAACTAAGATTTAACCAAATATTCCTTTCCCATCACCAAGATTGCTTCTTTTTCTCCTGATCAAGTTGTTGGGAGAAAAAAACACGCACGCTAATCCACTAAAGTTCTAAACACATAGCAAAAAACGCTAGCAATAAATCAGTCATTCAAGCAAATAACGCTGCGGTTAAAATTATACCTGAAACCTCATTGGGAGATCAGAGCTATGCTTCATCTTAAACCTATTCTCCCAAAAAATTCTTCGAGCCTTTTCGATCTCTGCAATCTCTTCAGGAGTCCCATGATTCGGATCGAACTCCCAAAATTGCCTTCCTACATGATTGTTGTTCGTCCTCAGCCACGGGCTCCCGCCCTCCGCTATCTTCAGCTTCCACATTACCCAATCCTTACAAAAAAATAAAATTGAAAAATTAAAAAAAAAATAGCACGAATTGAATGAATCGAGAGCGCAACAAACATTCGACGATTAGAGAAATCTCATTGTAAACTTACCTTTTGAAATGGAGAGAACTCAGAATTAGGGTTTACGAGATTGGAAAAGATTCCAGAGAGCTCACTGCTGATGCTCAGTCTCCCTCCTCTTTGACGATTTCAAGAGACGACAGCAGCGGATCGGATCTTAAATTAATTCGGCGATCATTTCTATGCGGTGGTTCCGTACGGGAGATTTCGGATCAGAAGCGGGATGATGGATCTCATCCTACGAAAGCCTGAGATGCAAACTCGTAAGCAGGGCTGTCAAAAAATGTCCGTATCTTCGTATTTTTAGTATACGGATATAGTTTCCAAAATTTATAACCAATAGTATATGAATTATGTCGTCAAATATATGGATCCATATCCGAGATATCGAAAATATGTTGATCATACAGTTACAATTGTTTTGTTGTAAATTGTAATCTTTAGATTAATGAAATTGAGAATTGTTTCGATGATTATATTTATTCTTCTCATCGACAGGCCCTCTACCATAGGAGTGAAGAGGCGGTACTTCTCGCAAGGAGTCGTCCCTTCTTGATAGGCAGCCCGACTCGTTCATTCTCGATCCAGTCGCCATCACATTAAATGCATGGTAAAAAATCATCATTGCTCTAACCTAAAAGTTTTTATGACTCATCAGGTTCTGTCAGCACCAAAGTAGTTACTGCCGCTTGGCACTAACCACCTGGATGACTCATCTTCGCTAGCAGCCGACACCTGTCAACCGTCTGCCTGGACTCTACTCAACTTTCCTATATGCCCTTCTGTTCCTCTATAAAAGGAAGCCATGCATTTAACGTAACTCTTTGGGTACTCCACACAACTTTGAGATTTTCTTCATTATCTCACATTTTTCCGCTCAAGTTCATATACTGACTTGATAGTCGGATGAACCATTAGAGAACCCAACTCCGGCCTTCTAACAAAGTGCTATTGTGCAGCTCTCTTATGCAGACAAGGGACAGAACTTTAAGAGACATGAGGGAACCCATATCACAAGCTCCCTTGCTTAACTCTGGATTACCCGCTAATCCCATTCATGTTTGATAGCAAACATCAACAGTATATGTATATATACATACATATACATATGTATATATATGTACACACATATATATATGTATATATAATTTGATTTTCTTATATCCGTTTTGTATCAACATGTATATGTGTATCCATATCCGGTTTTTGTGCATGTCGCTATGAATTTTTCTTACCAAGAGATATATTCATATCCATCATTGGTGAGTATATATAAATATGATAAGTATCATATCCAAGCCGTATCCGGATCCCATCAACACCCCTATTTGGAACCCTAATGGAAGCGCATGATTTGGTGCGGGTCCCCGACTAGATCCGACCGCAACTTATAAGTGGGCAGTTTGAAGGGCGTGCGGGTGTACGCACATAGAGCTTGTGGTATTTAATATACAGCTCGCACTTTCATTGTTACTTTTTGTTAATATTTTATTAGGCCACGTGAAGGAGCTCTGAAACAAAGATGAGATTAAAAAAGTTGGGGGACCGAAGTATGAAACAAGGGGGGAGCAGCCGAGCAGGTTATATGATAGAATATTTATTGCTCGTTTGTCGCACGAAATGGTTTTGTAATATTCTAATTAGCTTAAGAGCATCTCCAACAGCTTCCCCAAAATTTTCTTCAAAATGGAGAAACAAAAGTCATATTCTCCAAATTATTTTTGCTCCAACTCCAACAGCTTCCCCATTTTAAAAAATCGCATTTATTACAATAATAAAGCTCTCCCCAAAAATTTGGAGAATGCTGCAGATTTGGGGAAGGCTCCCTATTTTTTCTCCTCCTTCCCTATTTTGGGGAATAGGATAGGGAATCTGTTGGACCAAAAAACAGCTCTATATTCCCCAAAATTGAGTATTTCAAGAAGATGGGGAAGCTGTTGGAGATGCTCTAAGGGCACCTTTGGCGAGGGGTAAATAGAAAGTGAAAATAAGGGGAAAAAATACTTTTTCATGAGGGTGCATTTTTATTACTTTATTTATGTTTTGCAAAATCTTGTCTGGATGTTAGAAAGTAAAATGAGAGAAAACATAAGTGACAAATAATGTAATACTTTCTTTCTTCTTATTTTATTTGGTTATCACGGAAAGTAATAATGAAAAGTGGACAAGCAAAACTGATTTGATACATATGAAATCTAAAAATATGTTTTCCGTCTCCTCTCTCTTTACTTCCCGTCAACTTTCTTTAAGGACGTGTTTAGCAACCAGAAAGTAAATAAAAAGTAGAAAGTAAAGGGAAAGAACATTCTTAAGAAAGTATTTTCTTTTGACTTTCTAATTGTAAACTTTATTTGGATGATTGAAAGTGAAAAGATAGAAAGTTGAGATGACAGCTGATGTATCCACTTCATTCATAGTTTAAAAGAAAATTGTAAATACAAAGTTATTTAGTCATCTATAAACTGAAATTTAAAATTGGACAATTTTCTATTCACCACGAGATATCCCACCAGTGTTCTTAGTGTAATTTAATCCTAAGTAGTTTGTATCAAGTATGATTAAGCTGTAATTATTAAGACTCCGTTTGGATATCATGGTGTTTTACTTGTTTCCATGGTATTTTTACGAAAAACAAAACACCATGTGTTTAAAAACCATGATGTTTTTTAAGCTAAATCATAATCAAACAAAAAACACAACACTTATTTGAAAACAACTTTTAGATGTTTTAAATTTGGTGTTTTGGTTTTGAGTTTGAGAATGTGTTAATATAATATGTAACATAATATATTAAATGTAATTAATATAGCGTTAGTATCAATATGCGTATTATATTATACTATACTATATTATATTATAGTTAATTTTAATATATTAGTAATATTTATTAAATAATATAAAAATATAATAAATAAAATATCTTATATAATAATATAATAACATATTAAATACCGGTATTTAACATGTTAATAATGTATTATATAAAATAATAATAATAATAATATATAAATAAACTAATAAAAAATAACAAAAAAATATTGATAACAAATAATAATATAATAATATATTATACAATAGTATAATCAATATAATATTATTAACTTTGTAATAAATAAACTGTAACAAATTAATAATTATAAAACATTATATTACAGTAACATATTTAATAATATAATAATATTATTATAACAATATATTGTATTGTAAATGTAATATAATATATATAATAATAATATATTTTGTAATAAATAATATAATTTATTTTAAAGAAAAATATTTTTTAATAATAATTTATTAATGATATACCAAAATAATTAAATATATAATTATTTGAAAATAATATGTAATAATTATAATATAATATAACTCATTAAAGTACAATATAATATTATAATACATTATATAATATTATATTGCATTATAATATTTAATACTTATAATATAATAATGTAGGCTAAATATTATAACATTTTATTTATAATATATTTTATTATAATTAATATATAATATATTAATAATATGTTTGATACTAATATTATAATGGGTCAAACTTATGTTGACCAAAAATACTTACCAGGTATTTTGAAAGCATTTCAAGGAAAAAACATAACACCATGGTATTAATAAACTCTAACATATTAAAAACTATTGTATTATATAATATTAAAATATTTATAATATATTAATTTATAAATAACATACTAGTAATAACATAATATTAACATTATTAATAATATTATATTATATGAATAATAGTATAATATTATATTATGTTAATAATATTATAATATTATATTAATAATAAAATAATATTATCATTAAAAATATTAATATAATATACAACAATAACAAATTGATATACCAAAATAATTAAATATATAATTATTTGAAAATAATATGTAATAATTATAATATAATAATAAGTATAACATAATATAACTCATTAAAGTACAATATAATATTATAATATATTATATAATTTTTATATTGCATTATATTTAATACTTATAATATAATAATGTAGGCTAAATATTATAACATTTTATTTATAATATATTTTATTATAATTAATATATAATATATTAATAATATGTTTAATACTAATATTATAATGGGTCAAACTTATGTTGACCAAAAATACTTACCAGGTATTTTGAAAGCATTTCAAGGAAAAAACATAACACCATGGTGTTTTTTTTACAAAAAACACAACAAGAAAAACACCATAGTATATTAATTATATATAGTTAAAACAAGTTTATTATTCATCAACTTTACCAAATTATGTAATCCTAATTAGCTTGTATAAGGATAATCACATTATTAACTTTATATGGTTAAAACAAGTTCATTATTCATCAATGTTACTAAATTATTATAAGCATGGACGTATTACACACAAAATGGGTGGAAGAAGTCTCAAGTGATGACTGTCTAGAAAAAATTATAAAATTTAATTTGTGTTGTAATCTCGTTGTTGTATCTACACACATCACATATCAAAGTAAGAATCGAACATGAAATGTAAAAGTAAATAAACAAGAAAAAGAGATAGGGAGAAAGTGATCATCTCATTTTATTCATCTTCATTTCTCCTCAATACATTTTGTCTTCCATGGATTACATTATATAGATGTGGAAGAGAATACTAAAAGTCACAAGTAGGTGAAGAGACTTCTTCTAGTAATGTCCACATTCATTGTATTTATATTTACAACACTCCCTCTTGGACATTACTACCTGATGTCAATGCCTCGTTAAAAACCTCGCTAGAAAAACCCAGTGGGATAAAAACTAGTCGAGGAAAAGAGTACACGACATTAGTAGATTCTTGTTGCATTAGTTGCCTCATTAAAAACATTTAACTAAGAAAACCCTGTGGGACAAAACTTAGTAAAGGAAAAAAGAGTACAACTATAGATCTTCGGGATCCAAAACTTGTGTTGCATTAGTTGCCTCATTAAAAACATTTAGCTAAGAAAATTGTGGGACAAAACTTAGCAAAAGGAAAAAAGAGTACAACTATAGTCCTTCAAGGCATAATCTTCGGGATTACGTTAAAAATTCGCTCCCCCTGATGATGACAATCTTCTAACTTTATGCTAAGAAAAACCCAGTGGGACAAAACTTAGCGAAAAGAGGCAAATTATGATAATAAACCTTCAGGGCCCAATCTTCAGGATTGTTCTTTAAGAATTTGCTCCCCCTAAAGAAGATAGTCTTTCAAGTCTATGCATATTGTGAACATATTTCTCAT